TGAAGCCGAACATTCTTGCGATGATTGGGCCAGCTGCGCCTGGCAAGGGCGACACCGAGTTCCGCAGACTTATATTTGGATTGTTTTCGAGTCTGGGGAAATATGCGGCGAACACCTAATCGTTGACTGCGGATGAGCCTCTTGTTCGCGCGACAAGGAAGAGGGGTGGAGGCGCACCAATTATCACATTTCGATTACGCGGGTGCAGACTGCCCGGGTTTGCGAGCGCACGTGGACAACGAGCCAGGCACAGAGTATGGATATTATGCTCACTACCCTGCTTGGTGCCCTCTCGACGATGACGACCCCTGTGATTTGCGCTCTCTGTGCCCGCATATCGAGTATTCGGCCGAGGTCTTGGGCAAGAAGAAACTGTCCAGATGGCATCTTACATCGCCAGCGTTGCGGCAACCTTTCAAGGAGGCGGTTTTCGATGCTTTTGGGGCGACCCGGGACTTGGCCGCTTCAGTGGACCAGGTGCACCATTTTGCCGAAGGTTTCCTGGAACGTAAGACTCCCACATTCATGTTGGATCCAGACGATATTGATGATGATGTTGAGTTGCAGCCCCTGGAACGTCGATGTTTGCGATCTTCCGGGTAAGAGTTTGCAAAATTCAATGAAGCATTCGGATCCCATAAGCGGAAGTTGCTTGAGCAGAAGAACATACTGAAGTTCCGGAAGCTAAGCATGTTGAAGCTTGTTTTCCACCGTTTTCCATGTCTTTTTCTGTCCATTGACGGTCACGCGACAGCCGACATAACGTCGTGGGCGAATGCTTTGACGGAGGCATTCGTGCAGAAGTTTGCCGACCCGTCGAACGAATTGCGAGTTCGGTTTGGTTCTGAATGATGCGCTGGATGGATTCATTCTTCGACCTCCGACTCCTGGGCAGTCTATGTTGTCACGCGCCCGGCTTCGGGAACACGGCGGTCTTCGGGCTGACGGGGTCGGAGCGGCAATCTGATCAACATATATCACATGTTTGTTGGATATTGGCGTTTTGGTGGCCAGTTCTGTTCTCGACTTCCGACGCGTCGGATTGCCGAAAGAAGCCGCCCCAAATACATCGCAGAAGTACCGATATATTGGATTGGAATGGTCAGCTGAACAAGTGGTACATGGACATGTGCACGTTTCGGATATTCGAGGATATCAGGTTGAACCGGGACGTCTGCGCGTTTTCATTTTCTGTTGGCTATTCGTGCGACGATTTTCCTTGGAGTCTTGTTTGAGCTGTGCTCGCATGCGAAACGACGGAGATTCAGTTTGCTCATTTCCGGCCAGGATGTTTTTACAGCTTTCGATGGCGTGCAGCATGCAGGCTTCGCCACCGCGCTGCTTGAGTCTGGTGGCAGAGCCTTGCCAGTGTTAGCGTTGGCCCGGGAGTACGTGAACACCATTGAGAGGCCCAGCATCCAGGGCATCGCCCAAACGGTGTGTTTTCCCGATTCTAAAGCGTTGCGGGCTGGATCGAAGGAAGTTCCTTTCATATTCAACCAGGTGGTGCGCCGAGCGTGCACGTTTCTGGCGGAGAGTTGGGGCACGCGTGGTCTTGGGTCTCTTCTTCGGGGGTCTGCCGCCCAGATTGCACGCATGTGGTGGGCAGACAATTTGTTTTTGATCCGTGGATCTGACGAGGCATGGCGCACCATGGTGGATGAACTCAGTGGGCGGCTTGCGGAGCTGCGCGCATGGACGTGGCAACCATCATCGTTCGAGGTCTTATCTATCAACACCGTTCTTCCTGTCGCGGATGGCTCTGTCATGGTGTCTCTCCGTTCTTGTCCCCGCCATCCGCCCTTCAGCTTCCAGCGTGTATCATCTGTGGTTGCCTTGGGCTCCATGGTCAGTGACGAGGTTGATAGCTCTCTGTCTCTAGAACATCGTCTCGCGCATGCCTTCAAGCTGCTTCAGGTGCACGGGTCTTTGCTGATTGACTCCAAGTTGGCTTCGAAAAGCGCTGCAGGAGCTACTGGGCCTCCGCTCAGGCATCAGCTGCTTTCGGAGCTGGCGCGTGGCATGTTGACGAAGCCTTAATTCTTAGAGCGAAGAGTCGGGAGTTCAACGTGCTTTGATCGATGCGCCGCTTTCGCCCGCATATGTTTGGGCACACAACATGGGAGGAGGGTGCAGCTGCAAAAATCAGATCACCGCTTCGCATGCTCAGGACCCCCACGCTACCGTTGCGCATATTGGAAGCAGTTTTCATGAAAGCGTGGCGGGAACGGCACCAGGCGTCTCTAGATGGGTCCGCGCGTTCGGACAGATCCGCCGCGCGGTGGGGAGCTGCCAAGCAGGACCCCAAACGGCGTAAACGCGGTATCGCGCAGAGCGGCCTGGGTGAATGGCAAGACGTCGAGACGCCATTCGTCATCGCATTCGGACTGGTCTGGCGCCACATGCGCGACAGCTGCGCGACCAAACGCGAATGAGTACGGTTCGAACCAACGTTCGTGCAAGTGTTGGCTACGTATTGGCAGCTCGAGTGCTTGCACGAGGAATGCAGCGAACTGCCCCCAACCTCGTCAACCCTGCCAGGTACGACGACCCCTGCAAACCATAAGTGTTACGAGCACACCCTGTCACAGGTGATGTTGCTCAGGGTGACAGAAGCTGATCTGCTATGGGACGTGGGCTGACCAGCGAAGCAAATCAAATTTGTAGTGGACAGCGAGCAGGCGGCAAAGTTGGTCAATGGTGAATCTGTGACTGCTGAGGCGACTTTGATTCAGCTCGTCTGCTCCATGCAGGCTGAAGTATTTGGTGTTTTTGGCGCCTGCTACACCCGGCGAATGCATGGAGCCCCCGTGTTTTGGCGCCCCAGGGGGTGGAATTCAGCATCGGATCTCATGGCTAATATTGGTTTGCAAGGTGGGTCTGCATGTGACGACGTGGACAGGAATATCATCATACAAACACCATTGCTGCAGTGTTATTCCGACGGAGGGCATTTGCAGGACGCACGCCGCAGTTCGTATGGTTTCACATTAACGACATGGAAGCACGACAGCGGGGAATGGACGCGAAACTTGGCGGGTTATGGTTGCGGCGGGTTTGCTAATTGTGACCACAGTTTGCACGCGCAACTGGTGGCACGATTTGAGACAGTGGTGGTTGTCAAACGCGCAATGTTATAATACCTTGGCCCTCTGGGCCGCTCAATGACCAGCGGCACTCTTAGGACACGTCATGAGGATGTCTGCGCTGGAAACACATTAAACGCATTTAAATTGTCATTATTGTTAAATTTTGAATAATCCTGATGTTAAGGGAGTCCCAGAAGTTTATGCTCACGCAGTGTTTCTTTTTCCCAACCATCTTGTGGTGTTGGGTCCTCGTTTTGAAGAGAGGTCGCCCCGCGTTCTCCTCCTCCTCTCCTCTCCTCTTCCTCCTTGTCCCTCCATCACCATCATCATCATCAGCATCAGCATCAGCATTATCATCATCATCCCCATCATCATCACCATCATCATCATCACCACCCGTTTCAGCATACCCCTCACACGTTTTGTGGCCCCATAGGGAGCCCCACCGAAGGTCCCAGTGCTACCGTCCGCATGCGTCCCCCCCACCCAGTACAGCGCATCGTGGCCCCCCCATATGGGGGGGCCCACGGAAGGTGTCAGTGCTACCGTCCGCATGCGTCCCCTCCACCCAGTACAGCGTTTCGTGGCCCCATAGAGAGCCCCACCGAAGGTCCCAGTGCCACCGTCCGCATGCGTCCCCACCCCACCCAGTACAGCGCTTCGTGGCCCCATGGGGAGCCCCACTGAAGGTCCCAGTGCTACCGTCCGCACGCGTCCCCCCCACCCAATGCAGCGCTTCGTGGCCCCATAGGGAGCCCCACCGAAGGTCCCAGTGCTACCGTCCGCATGCGTCCCCCCACCCAGTACAGCGCATCGTGGCCCCATAGGGAGCCCCACCGAAGGTCCCAGTGCTACCGTCCGCATGTTTCCCCGCCACCCAGTTCAGCGTTCCGTGGCCCCATAGGGAACCCCACCGAAGGTCCCAGTGCTACCGTCCGCATGCGTCCCCCCACCCAGTACAGCGCATCGTGGCCCCACAGGGAGCCCCACCGAAGGTCCCAGTGCTACCGTCCGCATGCGTCCCCCACGCCCAGTTCAGCGTTCCGTGGCCCCATAGGGAGCCCCGCCGAAGGTCCCAGTGCTACCGTCTGCATGCATGCGTCACCCCCACCGTTTACAGCGCTTCGTGGCCCCATACAGAGCCCCACCGATGCCCCTGGGACTGTCCGCGTGCGTCCCGGAAATTTTATTTGGCATTTTCACCCCACCAAGTACGGCGTTTCGTGGCCCCATAGAGAGCCCTACCGAAACCCCCACTGGGACTGTCCGCATGCGTCCCTGAAAAACAAGTTTGGCATTTTGACACCACCCACTACGGCGTTCCGTGACCCCGTAGAGGGCTCCACCGAAGCCCCCAGTGGGACCGTCCGCGTGCGTCTCGGAAACCCAATTGGGCATTTTCACCCTCCAATGCAACGCTTCGTGGCCCCATAGGGAGCTCCGCCGAAGCCCCCAGTGGGACCGTCCGCATGCGTCCCGGAAACCAAATTTGGCACACCCCTCATATGTTTCGTGGCCCCATAGGGAGCTCCACCGAAGCCACCACTGGGAAAGCCCGCATGCGTCCCACACACCATGTTTTGCATTTTCTCCCCACCCAGTGCGGCGCTTCGTGGCCCCATAGGGAGTTCGCCCGACGGCCCCAGTTCTACCGCCCGCATTGGTTCCCCCCACCCAGTGCAGCGCTTCGTGGCCCCAAAGGGAGCTCCACCGAAGAACATATTCACGACAGCGGCGCCCACAACTGCATATGGTTGGGCCCGTCGCCAGGATAATGTTATGCACGGCTGGGGCCCGGGGAGAGAATCAGACCTCGGACCCTTGCCGAGGGGCCTCCCCACTGGTGGAGGCCCAGCCAGAGCGAGAAGCGCAGGGGAAGGCCGCCGCCGTCTCGACCAGCCCTCCTCCGAGCATCGATCCCGACGCGTTCGCGGCGGGGGAGGTGCCGCTGCAGCCCGACAAGGCTCACGGTCTAGGCTGCAGTCGGGCCTGTCTCTCTCTCCAGGCGGAAATTTCAAAGATAGTCCCAAAATAGTCCAGGGTTGATGTTTTGATTATTGTTAGATTTGTTTTTTGTGAGTGGTTTTTTTTTTTCGCCCGAAATCACCCTGTAGGGGGACAGGCCCGACTTAAACATAGTCCTCTCTCAGGCGATCGCGAACATGGGTAAGGGGGCGTGTATCAGCGACGGGTCCCGTTTCCAGGGGGAATCGCGGATTTCCGCCGCCGAGCGAGGCGGCACCGGCCGCATTTCGTTGGGGGCACCTCCCCCGATACATGGATTTGGGCGACCGCGCGCCAAATCCATGGATCGCTAATCCATGTTTGCGCGACTCCGACTCTCAGATGGGGTATGAGTAGATGGGGTCGGAGGATCCTGCCGCATCGCCGATGCATCGGCGATGTGGCTCGATGTGGAGCCCTGATTGTCTCCGCGCCGACGTCGCCGATGCATCGGCCATGCGGCGTGATGCTTCGACCCCACTTACTCGGACCCCATGTGGGAGGCCTCAACACTAGCGCCGAAACAGCACATCCATGTCCACACCTCCGCGGTCTGGATTCCGGCGATGCCGTGGATGCGCGGTCGCGTGGATGACACGTTCCGCGCGGGGTCCCGCGCGGAACGTATCGCCCACGCGGGGCCCGCCCCGCGGGGCCGTCAAGACGCTGAAACGAGGACCGCCTTGGGTTCAGCAGGGGTTCCCGTTGCCTGGCCGCTCCTCTCACGCTTGTCGTGGAGCCCCTTCGTGGCCAAGGTCCGCCGTGACCAGAAGGAGCCGTTCCGCTCCTTGTGCAGCGTGCCCCGTGCGGTAGAGCACTGTGGCTGTACGGACGCGTTTCCCGCCGGCACATCTGGCGCTCCGGTCTTTGTCGATGCGTGGGCCTCTCGGAGGTCTGGACCACCGCCCTCTGGGGCCCGTGCTTCGCCCCGAGTCGTGCTGGGGCGGCCCCAGGGGGCCCGTCTGAAGAGGGCCCCCGGGGGCCGAGCCTCTCGCCGAGAACTGGCCGCTTCCACTTCTTTCAGGGCTCCCCCCCTCCCATATACTACTCTTCCTCCCGCTCCTGGTCCCTCTTCCCGCAACCCCCTCCCCCTCCCCCTCCTTCTCACTCTTCATCCTCCTCCCCTCCTCATCCTCCTCCTCCTCTCCTCCTCCTCATCATCATCATCCTCCTCCTCTTCCTCCTCCTCCCCCCTTCCTCCTCCTCCCTCCTCCTCCTCCTCCCCTCCTCCTCCTCCTCCTCCTCCTCCTCCTCCTCTCCTCCTCTCCTCCTCCTCCTCCTCCTCCTCCTCCTCCTCCTCCTCCTCCTCCTCTGCCTTCCCCCGTCCTCTCCCCTCCTCCTCCTCTCCTCCTCCTCCTCCTCCTCTCCTCCTCTCGTCCTCCTCCCGCTCCTCCTCCTCCTCCTCTCCTCCTCCTCCTCCTCCTCCTCCTCCTCCTCCTCCTCCTCCTCCTCCTCCTCCTCCTCCTCGTCCTCCCAGGGGGGAGGAGCTTCGAGCCCCTGGGGGCGAGGCGCGCCGAGCCCTCGAGCTGTCCGTCGCGGGTCCGCTGGGCCTGTCCGTGGAGGCCGCGGCGCAGGCGGTCGCCGACGCCGTGGAGGAGGAGATGGCCGCGGCCGCCCGGGCGCACGCCGCCGAGCACGGGCACGACCTGCAGGCCCGAAGCTGCGGCTGCCGACGTCGCGAACAGAAACACGTATTGAGACATCCGGGGGAGCTGTCCCCTCTTGCTTCTGGCTGCCTGGACTGGAGGCCCTCCCATTGGCGCAGGGGTCTGAAGTCTCCGGAAGTCTCTGGCTGATGGCTTCTTCATTGTTTTGCCGATCGGCGCGGGCCTCTGCCGAGGACGGGCACGACCAGCGCGGCGACGTTCCCATCGGGGAGGCGTCTACGACGCTCCTTTGATGGCCAGGCGATCGCAAGCAGGGGCTGAGGGGGCGTGGATGAGCGACGGGTCCGGTTTCCATGGGAAATCGCGGATTTCCGCCGCTGAACGAGGCGGCCCCGGCCGCATTTTGGGGAGGGCACCTCCCCCGATCCATGGGTTAGGCGACCGCGCGCCAAATCCATGGATCGCTAATCCATGTTTGCGCGCCCCCGAGATGTACAGGTGTTTTGGGATGTCTCTGGATCCCAGTCTAAGTAAAGCGCCTTTTCCTACTGCAAGGATGCATGTTTTGTTGCCGCTTGTTGTCATCATTTGGGCGGGCCCGATGCCAATCTTCTTGATCCGCAGAGTAGGCATCTCCAGGTTGCCAGATTCTGATCCAGGGCGCGAGCTAAATTTGGTTTGGCGACTTCGTGGACCGTTTTCGTGTGGATCTGGTTTTGCAGCAAACAAGCAGAACGAAGACAGAACGAGGGAATGCTCGAATTTGCTGGAGCTCAGGTTTGCCGACCCAGAGATCCGAGGCGCCGAAGAAAAGTGGAGCAGTTTGTTTTTGGCCATTTTCGGCTTCAGCGGACCCTCAGCGGGCCCTGGGACCGTCAAAGAACAGCTCAGGATAAAACACCGGCTCCATGCAAACTGTCCAGAACACGAGTGGTCCAGCATCGACAAATAGTGCAGCGCGAGGCGTCTGGGTGTGAGGCTCGAGTTTGCTGGAACTTGGGTTTGCCGCGGTTTCTCCTGGGCCTGGCATTGATTTTGACAGTCCGTTCAGCTTTTGTGAGGTGCCTGCAGCGGGAGCTGGCGTCAGATCTCAGACCAGATCGTGCCATTTGTCCGACGGCCCCGTCAGGCCAAGTCGAGTCCCCAACTCGAGTCTCCTGTCCCTCCGACTAGCAGACGAATGGTGTAATATACTGTGTTCCGCCGTCGGGGACGCCGTCCCCCAGGGCGGCTTGAACGTTTCTGCTCCGACGGCGGCACGTCGGAGTCTAGACTTTCCAGCGTCTCCGGGACAGGCGCCCTCGACGGCAGAGACGCTGACGTCATACCGTTCTTCGCTCGCTGTGACAATCGGCGACTGGACCTGGGGGGGGGGGTCGGGCGAAGAGAACTATGCACATGCACCGATCCTGGCAAGGCCCATCCTTGACACGGATCGGTGCATATGCCTTCCTGGCCAAGGTAGGAGGGCGTATGCACCGATCCTGGGCTCAGGATGGGCCTGGCCAGAATCGGTGCATGTGCATAGTTCTTTTCCTCTAGGGGGGAAGTATCGACGCCCTATCTTCCATTCCTCGCCGACCCGGGGTCTTGGTGCCCAGGAGCGCGGCATTTCGCCATGGAGCGCACACCGCCGCTCTGTCGGCGATGTGTCGCCGAGTCCAGCTCGCCGTCGCCCCCCCCCCCGCCCCCAGGCCCAGGGGCAAAACGGTACACCTCAGGCGATGCTCAAGAAAACTTGCATTTTCGGCCAGAGTCTCGATTCTTCTTCATGTTTCAATTGAATTCCTGAGATTTTGATAGGAATTCTGGGTTTTATTAGAATTCTGAGACTATGAATTTCTTAACCCATGATTTCTTAAGCATTTCGCAGGGTGTAGGGGCGGCTCCGGGGGGGGGGAGGGGGGAGGGCGCATCGCCCCGCAGTCGCCCCACTCCTCATCCTCGACAGGGGGGGGGCCCTCCTCCCTGGCGGGTGCCCCCAGGATGGCCAGGGAGGTCCCCACGGCCTCCAGAGCACTCCCGAGGACGAGGAGGAGGAGGAGGAGGACGAGGACGAGGAGGAGGAGGAGGACGACGAGGAGGAGGAGGAGGAGGAGGAGGAGGAGGAAGAGGACGAGGACGACACGGTCCCCACGGGATTGCCAGGTCGCGAGGCCCAGGGCCGGGCGAGGAGAACTGTGCACAGGCACGCCTCCTGGCAGGGCCCCTCCTGGACCCAGGAGCGGTGCAGGTGCCTTCCTGGCCCGGGGCCGGAGGGCGCGTGCACCGCTCCGGGGCTCCGGGGTGGGCCTGGCCAGACTCGGTGCATGGGCACAGCTCTCTTTTTTTTTTCCTCCACAGCGGGCCCCATAGGGGGCTCCAAAGACGAGGGAAGGGCCGGGGGCACCTCGGGGCACGGGCGCTCCTCTGTAGCAGCACCCGGCCCGCGGGCGCAGCCGTGCCCGGCGCGCGGAGGCGGCCGCCGGCACCCCCGCGCGTCGGGCCGAAGGCCGGGCGCCGCCGCGAAGAGCGTCCTCGCTGGGCCTCCAGGAGGGTCCTCGTCGCCCCCCCCGACGTCGCGGGTGCGGATGGGCACTGAGATCCGACGTCGCGAAGCAACTATGATGTCGTGATCGTCTTGGTTCATGTACTGTTTTGCCGAGCGGCGCGGGCCCCCGCACCCCCCCCTCCATGGAGCAGATCTTGGCTGTCTTTGGGCGTCTGCTTCGGGCAGGGTGGCGTCTCCCCCCATAGGACGCACTGCTGCAAACAGTCGCACGCAGCAGAGGTCTGGATCCAGACCGCCCCCCCTCCCCCCCCCCTTCCGCCCAATGTCGAGACGCCGAAGGAGAAGACGCTCGCCCGAGATCCGACGTCGCCCAACCCAACAGCACGTCGTGGAACCCCCCGCAGCCCGAGCACCGGACCCCCCGCCTCTCGGCGGCGCTCTCCTCGCGCCGGGTCGGCCCGTGAAGCCCCCGATCGGCCTGCAGCAGGGCGGCCACGTCCGGTGCGAAAGGATGGCGACGCCGGGATCTCCAGGGTTAAGTCTAAAATCGGGGGAGCGTAAGACCCGGGTTTGCCAGGACTCGGGTTCGCCATCGTTTTTTGACCACCGCGCCTCGGATTTTGACGAGGAGGAGTTTCGTGGGATGTCTGCCGCGGGAGGCCTCGTCAAAATGCAGGCTCGGCCTCGTCATTTTTTCGACGACCTCGTCGGGGATTTCCGAGTCCCCCGTACCCGGGTCTTACGTCTCCCCGATAAGTCTAAAACGACGCGAAGATCGGGACAAAATCGGATCGGGGTACCTCGAAACCTCTGAGAGTCGGCGGGTTTGGAGGATGCATTGGGCGCCGCGGCCGCTCCAGAGCGTTCCGGGACTCTCTGAGAGCGCTCCGGAACGCTCTGGAGCGATTTATCCCGATCCTAGCCCTGTTTGGGCCTGTCCCCCCAGGGGGATTTTCGACGAAAAAATATGCAATACCCCACAAGTAGTCAAGAAATGGTCCAAAACTGGTCTGGGGACGATTTTGGGATTATCTTTTGGCCTCTCTGGGGCATTTGTGGGGTACCTTTTATTTTTCGTCGAAAATCCCCCTGTATGGGGGACACGCCCGACATCACTCCAGGGGAGGGGCGCCATGAGTCTCAAGTGGGCCCTCCCAGGGTCCTGTTCGATCTGGCCAGTCTGATTCGACTTCGGTGATGGTCAGACCGATCCGACTCGACTCCGATGCCCCGACGTGCCGATGCGACCCGACGCTCGGATTGCGCTGTTCTGCATCCGGGCGCGGCCGATCCGATTCGCTTCCGGCTCCGTGCCGATGCGTCCCGATCCGATCCGATTTCCCGATTGGAGGCTGACTAGCCTTAAGTCGGGCCTGTCCCCCTACAGGGGGATTTTCGACGAAAAATAGGAAATACCCCAGAAAAATAGTCCAAAAATAGTCTGGGGATTATTTTTGGGGTATTGTCTTGCCTTTTGGGGTATTTTCGGGGTCTTTTTCATTTTGTCGCCCAAAATCCCCCTGTAGGAGGACAGGCCCGACTTAAGACTAGCCCTGCTCTTCTCCGATGCAGGGCTGCGCGCTGGTCGCCTTCGGGGGCGCGGCGCCAGTGCGCGCCGGCACGCTGGCTCGGAGGCTGGGGCTGCGGAGGGTGCTGGTGCCCCCGGACGCCAGCGTGGGCAGCGCGCTGGGCTTCTTCTCGGCGCCGCTGGCCTTCGAGGCGCGGGTGGCACGGAGCCCAGACATTTTCAGGAGGGGGAAAAGCAGACACAGGCACAACTCATCGTCGATTCCCCCGAACATGTGGGGAACTATGGGAAGTGTGTGGGGGGGAAGGCAAAAACCCAGAAGATATGGGAACAGATGGGGAATCCTTGTATTTGTGTCTATTATTGTTGTGTCCTTCGGCCCCTTGAGACATCCGGACAAGCAAGGCGGAGGTTTATCATGGTGTTCGCCCGTGCGGGGCCCTTCCTGGGCAGCGAGGCTATCAAAGAATGGCTCGGGCTGGAACCGGTCCAAGGGAAGTATTCGAGAGGTCAGGGGCTTGCATCTCGACGAATTCAAGATGCCGGATGTCTGTGGAGGGGGGGAATAACGGTAGCCAGTGATTTTTCCCATCCCGCCACCGTGCATCGGATGTTCGTTGGGATCTCGTGAGGGGCCACTCGGGGGCGTCTTGGAGGCAGTTTTAAGGCCACTTGGGGACCGTCTTCGGCCCTCTTAGGGGCCTCTTTTGAACCGCCTGGGGGCCTCTTGGGGGCATCGTGGGGGCCTCTTGGAGTCTCCTGGGCGCCTCTTGAGACCTTCCGAGGGCCCCTTGAGGCGGACGGCTAGGATTTTCGATGCGTGTTCCCTCTCTTGGGCTCTTTTTTGGTGCCGTCTTGGGGCCCTCTTAGGCCGTCTGGGGCGCCTCTTGGGCCGTCTTGGGGCGCTCTTAGGCCGTCTTGGGGCCACTAGATGCCTCTTAGGCCGTCTTGGGGTGGCCTTAGGGGCCTATTGGGCCGTCGTGGAGCGTCGGAAAGCCTTACCTGCGAGAATGCCGCAATCCTTCGAAAACCTTAGGAAGATGTTTGCCTCCTGGGGCCATCTTGGGAGGCCCTCTTGGGAGGCCTCTCGTGGCGTCTTGGAGGCCTCTTGGGCCACCTCGAGGCCATCTTGGGTGTCTTGCATCGAGCTTGGGGCGACCTCGGGGCCCTCTCTGACCACTTTGAGGGCCTCTTGGAACCCTCTGGGCCAGATTCTGGGGCCCTCCCCCTCTGGGCGGGGCAGGCCGCCGCGAGCGCCTCTTCGGCAGACCCCCGGCCGGCCCCGCAGACCCCGGGCCGGCCCGGGAAACTCGGGGGCGGCAAAGAGGGGGGTGATGAGCAGGGGGGTGGATATCATGGCGGGGGCCATGATGTTTCCCCCGATTTCATGGCGCCCCTTCTTATTCCATTACGGCCCTGGCCCCCCCCGTTTAGCCGCGCACATGCCGCCGGTCATGACTTGCACCGCCCCCGAAAGTATGGCTGCAGCTGCAGCAGAGCCCTCTCAGTGCTGCATGAGCCTTGGGGCACGCCACTTCATGCCAGATTCACGGTGGCGGAGAGCAATACAATACACTTTTCCGCGATCGGCGACGCCTGTCCCAGGGCGGCTGGAGAACTTGTGTTTCCACTTGCCACCGTGTAGGGGTATTAACTTCCCAGCCGCCCTGGGACAGGCGTTCCCCGGCGGCAGGAAGGAGTTTACTCTGGGGGCCCAAAGAACAGACACCACCACGTCGGTTCCTCCTCCCTCCTCTGTCCAGCGAGAGGGCGGAGGGGGGAGGGAGGTGGTGGTGGTGTATATGTTTTGGCCCCCCATACTTGATACCGTTCTCCGCCCAGGGGGGTCCCTGGAACAGGCGGAAGTACGGGATCTGCTGCCTGCCATGCAGTCCCAGCCCCGCCGCCGGGCGCCTCCCTCGATGTGCCATTGGCGCCTCAAGGCTCTGGGAGGCCCCGGGGCAGCCAGCCTGGGAGCCTCCCTCTGCCGCTCCACCCCCAGAGGAGGAAACGGTACCCATACCTCTACCCTCCCCTCGTCTGCTGCTCCACCCTCGGAGGAAGAAACGGTACCCATACCTCTACCCTCCCCTCGTCTTCCCCTTTTTGGGCCTCCTGGGCCTCCATCGTCGCCACCGCTGGACTCGCCTCACGATCCTGGTCCGAACGCACCCCAGGAGAGGTCTGGGGAGCAGCGGTCACGGTGCCTTTTGGTTTCCCCCGCCCCCCACCTTGCCGGCCGACCCGAGAAGAGGCGGTGGAGAGCCGGCCCATGCTCCAGGGTTGCCACGGGGCGCCACAGGCTCAAGGCACCCCCCCTCAGGAGCGAAAGAAGGACGTACACGTACATGAATCCACGCTGTTTTCGAGATTTCGCAGTGCGCGAACATTCGTATCACGCGGCCGGTCTCGCGGGTCAAGGGGCCGTGTTCATGTACATAGCTGGGCGCGTACGTCCTTTGTGGGCTCCCTACCCCCCGGGGCCAGGATCTTCAGGGACGCGCCTGCAACCTCCAGGGCCTCCACAGGGCACCCCCTGCACGGGGCCCCAGGGGGCCAAGAGGGCCAGGGGGGCCAACACGGGGCTCCGGGACACTGTTTTTTTTTTCTTCGGGCTCAGCAGCCCGTTTATGATTTGGCGCGCGGAGTCTTTTACTCCGGGAATCGGTTCCCGCTCTTCGGGGAAGACCGTTCTGGCAGCCACGGATTTGCCAGCCCTCGCCCAGCTTCCAGACGGCACGGAACGCTGGGGGGCGACTCTTGGGCCAGGGGTGCCTCTCTGGCAACCCTCGGCGTGCTGGTGGACGCGAGCTTCGACCCGCGCGCCGTGAACGCCGTCTACCGGGGCCTGTGGCACCGCACGGTGTCGGTGGTCGCCGCCGGCGCCGCGCGCTGGAAGCCAGGGAGGCCCGCCCGGGAGCGCCGTCGCGCCTACTGCCGCTACGTTGGGCAGGGGCGAGAGGTGCAGGGGAACAGGAAGCGGCATAAGCATAACAACTCGGAGGTCCGCGCGGATTTCTCGGATCGGCGCTGGACCCCCCTCCCTGGCGCGCGGAGCGCGCCAGAGTTTGTTTTTCTTTTAGAATCTGGCAAGTTTACTTGCATGGACGAGGGGGGCGGGGGGGCTGAGCCTGAAGCAACCCCGGGGGGGGGGGGTGCGCGGAAATCACGCAAGTCGAAAGGCACTTGCACGCTAGTATTCGCTTGAAGAGGGGCGAGGGGGGGGGCGAACGCCATGCAAGTGAACTTGCCTGAATCCAAAAAAACAGGCTCCATAAACATAAAAACTCGGAGGTGCGCGCGGATTTCTCGGATCGCGCTGGACCCCCCTCCCTGGCGCGTGGAGCGCGCCAGGGGCGGCGCCGGAGGCGCCGCCGGGGGGCCCCAGCGCCGATCCGAGAAATCCGCGCGGACCTCGGAGTTTTTATGCTCATGTCACGTGCTGTTCCCCCGAGGTGTGCATCGACCTGCCCAACCGCGACCTGCAGCCCGGGGACGACGCCCTGCTGAGGTCGCCCGTGGCCTCCCCAGAACTGCGGTCGGGTGGGCGACGCGGCTCGGCCTGGAGCCCGACCTCCTCGCCGTCCTGGCGTCAAGTCGGGCGTGTCCCCCTACATGTGGAATTTCGACGAAAAATGAAAAAAATGCACCAAAAATAGCCCAAGAAGGTTAACACATATTTTTTGTTTAAAAAATCCCCTGACTATTTTTGGACTATGTCTTGATTTTTTGGGGGGTAACTTTTTCCATCGAAAATCCCCCTGTAGGGGGACAGGCCCGACTTAATCCTGGCGTGGGCGGCTCCTCGGCGAGTGCGTCGGCGATGCGGTGCGAGCCTCCGACCCCCTCCGCTCCGGTCCGGCAGGCCGGGTCTGGCTCCCGTTCGGGGGCCCCCATACGATGTGGTGACCACGCCGTGCGGTGAGTTGGTGGGGATTCGGGGTCTTCTCGGGTCGTTCTCCGAGGATGTCTCGGGCAACAGGGGCCTCCAGGCTCCCAAGACCGTGCGGTGACGGACCGTGCGGTAAGGTCTCCTGGGGTTCCGAGGTCACCGCACGGTCTGTCACGGCACCGTTTCGGGACTCCAAACCCAGGACTCCAAACCCAGTCCAGGACGAAGAGAAATCGCTGCACAGCGCTACGGAACGCTCTGGAACGGCCGCGGCGCCCGATACATCCTCCAGACCCGCCAGTACTCGGAGATTCCTCCCGATTAGTACATTACCCCAGTCCGAAGTTGGCTCCTCATCCTGCCGCTACCTGTGTGTGACGACTCTACTTGCTTGCTGCAGCCGCAGGTATCCTGATCCGACGCAGCATATTTCAGTAGTGTCTCCTCCCGTGTAAGTCATGGGCTGACACCTCGCACTCCTACCTGCGGGACGCCCCGATTTCTCGGGGGCGGAACTCCGTGGGGTTGTGTGTGTGTGTGCGTCTGCGTCTGCGTCTGCCTCTGCGTCTGCGTCTGCGTCTGCGTCTGCGTCTGCGTCTGCGTCTGCGTCTGCGTCTCTGTCTGCGTCTCTGTCTGCGTCTCTGTCTGCGTCTCTGTCTGCGTCTCTGTCTCTGTCTCTGTCTCTGTCTCTGTCTGTGTCTGTGTCTGTGTCTGTGTCTGTGTGTCTGTCTCTGTCTGTGTGTCTGTGTGTCTGTGTGTCTGTATGTCTGTGTGTCTGTGTGTCTGTGTGTCTGTCTGTCTGTGTGTCTGTGTGTCTGTGTGTCTGTGTGTCTGTGTGTCTGTGTCTGTGTGTCTGTGTGTGTGTCTGTGTGTGTGTCTGTGTGTGTGTGT